GAGTCCTACATTGGAATATAGTTTTTCATTTCAATCTTTTCGAGCCTCCAAGAACTTTAATCTTGACGAATCAGCGATACCCGTGATAACTACATTCAGACTTTATTCATGAGGCTTTCCTCCACGGTCTGCTTGAGCTTTGGCTTGCTGAAGACTCGGGGAGCTCGTGGAAACAAGCCGAAGGTCAAATTCATGGTCTCTGCAGCTCACGGGTCCTTCTGGCTCTGAGTGCAAAATGAAAATATGGTCTGGCTGTACAGGCTTTGGAGAGTTAAGTGCTTGCGGTTTAAAGCCTGCTAGCCCCATCAGGTTGAATCTACGATTGGTCGATTCCTCTTGCAGACCGATACAGAGCCTCTGGAGCTGCAGGTCTCATCCAGCTGCTCGTGTGGTTTGTGCTCTGCATTGATCAGAATCATCCACACTCGTTCCCAACATTTATTAATCAGTTGGACCTCTAACTATTCATTTCTACTTAATCTCCACGATGCTCTATCGTCCAGAAACTTCACTTAGCATTCATGTAGCTTGGCAATCGATGTTGGAATGTCCTACAAGTGGCATACTATGTTAAATTATAAAGAGGTGTTCAGATGCTCTACAGTGATTACGTCATTGAACTTACCAATGACGCGGTATTGTAACGTACGTTGTCCACCGGTTGTTTGAGGCTTGTGTTTGAGTCATAACGCGAGTAGAAGTGACATTGTCAGATCAGCTAAAACGAGAAGGCTCGACTTAGAGAGCAGAAGGATGCGAAGACCCCGAAGAAGAGCCGGTTTCATCCCTAAACGACCTGACGGGGATCGTAAATGTTGAATGTTGCATGTTTCATGTTGCATCTCCATCACCATACATAGTCCACCATATTCTTTCTCTGAAGCAATGAGGTTATGTATTGGTTTGGTTTTACGTGTTGATTCGTAAATTTTCATTTTTCACTCTTAATCTAGTATATGTCGATGGTTAAATATTAGCTACATATATTACACATATGATTCATGATATCTTTGGATTATGACTATCTATGATGAGATATGTGTTATGGTGCGTACATATCTCCCCTGGAGAGAGAATGTTTATCAACCTTGAGATAGCCTCGGGTTAGTCATACTTGAACTCGATTACAGAAAACTCAAGTCAAATATTGCTCTCGTAATGGGATGGTTTTGATTTCCCATCTTTTGACAAGTGACGCGCCATCAACAAGGTATCCAAGAGTATGGGGCGATCTAGTTGTATGACTATTTGTTACTCTAGATTGAGAATTGCATGAAACTATGAACACAGATTTCTTAATGTTAGTGAGAGATTGATAGATCATACCAAACTGGACTACATTGGTATCCACGTACTTAGCTCATATGTAACCTATTTTAGTACAGCATCTAAGCTGCGTGATAAGTTTTTGGATACTTCCGTTGAATCTACATAATCTAACATAAATCATTTGGATATCTTAATTGCATTCGACATTTTTTTCATTGTGATAGTACTGGACCTTTGGAATATGTACTCATTTTGGTGTCATCCATTCCGGGCTTGGTTGGTTCTTCACATACTTTATCTATGTAGTATTGCTTTCATTTATCATGCCAGACTTATGGGAACTATTTAAAGAAACCAGTCAGATACTGGTTCATCTAGATGGTTCCCATAAGATTTATCATGGGTATCCTAACCTGTGGGTGGGGTACTGTTGTAATATCATGTGAAACATAGACAAAAATTGTGGTAATGTCTATAAGTCCATGTAACGCCATATCTGTAAACTCGGATTTACTCGGTGCTATTCTGGCGGCCTATCACCCCTTACTCAAATGTGTCAAATATACAGTCATAAAGAAGAAAGAAAGGATTGAAGAGTTGGTGATTCCACCGTCCCTTGCGTAACTCCAATGATATTGCTTCTTTACGTGGTTTCGTCTGCAGAGTTCATGGCCTACCCGATGCTAGAGTCTGCAGTGTAGAAGTCTAAGTGGAATTCCTTAAGTGCACAAAACAAAAACAAAGCAAAAATACAAAACTCCAAAGTTAGAGCTTATCGAGTAGCTGAACATTAAGTTCCTCCTGACACCTCGCCCCCAACATGCAACGTCTGAGATGTTCGGCCACTGTACTGGATCCAAAACGGTATTTCCTACGAGCTGCAAGTTGCTGAGACTGGGACAGATAGCTGCCTTGTGATCTCATGACAAAGTGTGGTGGACGTGGAGTCATGCGAAGACTGTTCTTTCACTGTTGTCCACAGCTACCAGGCACCAAGGGCTTCCACAGAGTGCAGGAACGGAAACACCTGCCTCTGTTGACGAGATCCTCACTCTCCATGCACGACTAGCAGTCAGATCTCGTAAGTGCGAGACCTCAGGAGTAATCTCATTCTTCGAATTTTCACAAGTTTTGAACTTTCCCCGTAACTTTTTGCTGGCAAACCTTTTGGCCTTTTGATGGGATTGAGAAGAGTGGAACTTCAGACTCATGAAGGTCTCATGTCACGGAAAATGCTACAAGCAATTTATTCGACCATGTATGAATTGTGAAATTTCAAGATTCTTACGAAGAGATTACTGTTAAGGAGATTCAAACTTGAGATTCAGCCAACCAGTTCATGGAAGATGGTACCAGCCGAAGCTATTGCAATCACATTTGCATTCGACCGGGTTTCACAGAGAGAATTGGGACTGGACGTGCTTAGCACCGTCTTATCTTCTATCTCACCAACATACATGTCTACAGAGAGAATGTCCAGCAAGCAATGGCAATGCCAACCATGTGAAAAGTGAAACCTATGTATATGTCTAGGGCTTCGAGCTACTCAACCTGCTTCTTCGGAGACTTATGAATGGTATAGATAACCTGTAAACAACTGACAAGCTGCAACGATGAAGACCGCCGTGTCAGGGGATCTAGCTTGTGGCAGATTAATGAACAATGTGATGAGCAGTCCGTATGACCACATTTCAAGCTGCCGAAAAACAAGTAGACAGTATTTCTCGAGGACAAAGTCAAGGGAGGAAGGTGCTACGTATCATCACGGATTTGAGTACATTCAGCTGATCCAGCATGGGAGCCACGAATATGATCCGGTTCACGATAGGTTAGGGCACATTGAAAGCACGTACACTCTTAGTTACTATCGATCAGAGCGGTTCCGAAAACCTGAGGTGATGAGCATCGAGCACTGTGGGCCGCGCTTAGGAATCAAAAGGCTGAATCCATAAAACCACGAGTGGAAGAGAACGAAGGTTCCACGCGTGCGAGCCTCGGAATGAATGGTCGAAGAATGGACTGTCAGAGACCTCTTCATGGGTTTACAACGGCATGCCGGGCTTGTCAAAGGATTGATGGTGGTTCTTTGCACTCGATGTTCATACAATCTATGCGGTCAATCCATCTTCATGTTTCCGAAGTCGCTGGTGGCTGGGAGAGCAAAGGTCTTGTGCTTCCTACCTTCTAGACGAACACATCTCGGGCTCCACTGCACATTATGGCAAAGGTCTCATCTCTCATTCAGATGTCTGTCAGTTAAGCTCTTTGCGTCCGTGCCAACCGGAACATCGAGCTACGCAAGGTGCTCGACATTAAGGGCAAAAGGCAAAAAGGGACATCATTGAAGCCCCAGACTTAAGCTCTGCATGCCGAGGCTGAAGACGGTGTATGTGCATTTACACGAGGCCTCGGCTGGAGTCATGGACAAGATCCGGATAAAAGGATCAAGGAACAACCGGGCTCCTGGCAAGGACAAAAATGAGGGCCTGGATGGGTCCAGGAAAGCGCTCCGTCGGTGTAAATTCCTGTGCTCCGAACGTCCGATTTTGTCTGAACTGGAAACGGAAAATGTGTCTGCACCTGGTGCTCGGAAGTCAAAGGTTCTTCTGCGAGCAACACTTGTCTCTGTCGAAGCCCATGTTTCCACTTGATCAGCAGCAGCATGGCATGGCCAGACAGACCTCGCCGGGAGCCAAGAGAGACGAGGGATTCAGCTGTTCTCGCGTGGACACGAGGCGGATCCGAGCAAGTGCGGTGCTGCTGCACAAATATGTGACAGTATCGGACGGTTGGCCGAGGCGGCCATGGAGAGAGTGAGCAGAGCAGGCCAAAGGTTGCGCTGCATGCCCTCGTAGGGTGCCCTCACAAGTGTCTAGAGTCTAGCCTCCATCACATCTATCCGCTGCGTGAGCGAGCTCCCCCGGCAGCAGGAGTACTCTGGCAGCGCCATTAATGGGTTTGGTGCAAAGGAGTGGACCTGGACGTGACCATCATAAATGGGCCCTGGGAAAAGATGACCATGACTCCAGTATACCCCACAGGCCGAGCTGATCGCCATGTGCTGCAGCAGGCCCCGCTCAAACTCGCTCATCGAGCTCGCTCGCTCGTTCCTTCCTTGGAGCATCCCCCTCCCTCCCTCCCTCCCTCCCTCCTCCATCCTCCTCACCATCCCCCCTCGCTACGAGCAGCAAACAGAGCAGAGCAAATCCCTCTCTCCTCTGTCGGTTTCACCAGGCCCACAACGTCCATAATAACCCCCCCCCCCCCCCCCCCCCCCCCCCGCGCCCCATCTCCTCTCTGACCGAACCTTTTTCTGTCTTCTGTCTCTGGCCGGGCCCGTGAGGCAACGGCACGACGGAGCCCCCCCTACTCATGCAGCACGTACCCAGAGGGCACAGCCAGGCAGCCCCCCGCGCGCGCACACTCACACTCTCTCAGAGTAGCCCTTGCCCGGATCTAGGGACCTTGTGTCGGAGGTATTAGATTTGATTATGGCAGCTCAATTAGACGGTCGCCGGGCCTCACGTGCATCGCAGCCTCGCCATGTCGCCGATGTATGGCGAAGATGCAATCTCAGAAAGGAAATCTATGCTGGCTCCGGACTAATTGTAGGGACGTAGCGTAGCACCTGATGATGACCGAAAATGGCATTTTTGTTTATCTTATCGCCCTCGACTCAGCAGCACCACGGGCCCTGCGAGACAGAAAGCTGCCGTCTTGCGCTTGTGTGCGAGAAAATGCTCGCCTGCCATTGAGGCGCGATCCTAAACACGATCTTCACACTGCTTACTGACTGACAGGACGAGCTTTCGCATCGAAGGCAGTACAGGACCGTACATGCGTCGTAGTCGGCGTCGGCGTCGTCGTAGAGCTGCTGATGGTGATAGTTGTACTGGAGTCGTAGTATGAAGTAAATCTGCAACAGGTGCATCGATTGCGATACCGTCCCCGCTGTAAAGGTGGACTCGTTGCCTCGTACGTCTCGATGACAAACATGGAAACATCGTATGAAGATGCATTTTGTACCATGGCAATCATTTATGCAGAGAAGAGCAGAGTAGAGGAGCTGAACCTGACTGACTGACGACGATGCTGCAGCTGAACGAATGTAAAAACGAACGAAGGTCCGGGATCGGTCGTCGTGGCTCTAGGCCTTGTGGTAGGTTCTAAAGCTTGTCCACGCTCATGCACGGAAGCAAGTACGTCTGATTTGCATGAATCGAAGCTGTAGAGCACATTCATGTCTGCTCGATTTTTCGGTACCATGTTGCGCAGCTAGCCGACCATACTCCGAAGATACTCGGCGCTGGATTCAACTTACGGTCGGTATTTGTCTTCCGAACCCACGGCGCTCATACGATAGCCATGGCGAACCAGAGGACGTGGAAATCCTCGCGCCAGGTCGAATCTTCGGAGCAAAGTCAGCCGTGCTCGTCACGTACTGGCATGGCATGTTGTGACCCAATTGAGGCCCTTTCCGATACGGCTGAAAAGAAATACTGGTGACAGGACTGCATTAGGCAGCCCTTCTGATGGTCCGCCTGTGTTATCGGATCATGTAAGTTTCAAATTATCTAATATACTTTTCGAGAACAGCTTCATCCGCATATTGATTTGCTCCTGGATCAGTTTCAAAGCGCAAGAGGCTCTCTATATCCAGCAGCCGAATAGATAGATGGAGTGAGGCTCTCGCTGGTTTCCTCCATGATTTGCTATGTGATCTAAACGATTGGTGCTCCAACGAAAAGGGCAGCAATGGCTATAAATCTTACTGACTCTCGGTCAGAATAGAAATCCAAGGAAAAATCTCTTTAGACATTCCTTGCAACAGTGTCATTGTGTCCGAGCCTGTCTGCATGAACCTCCGAAACATTCCTCTGTCCATTCAATCTGTCCCAGTGAGCCTTCCATCACCAAGTGATAATCATTTGCACACAAGCTCAAGCTCCGGCAAAAGCACACTCAGAGCTACGCATGTCATCACCTCGTTAGACAAGAAGAGCAGGTGAGATTCTTCCAGAGACCTCGTAAACTCACTCTTCAACTTGTGCATGTGCCAGCTGCGCAAGTCTCGGCCCTCGGTAGCAACGGTTGATTGGTAAAGTAGGAGCCTCTTATGGACCCAAGTGATTGCTCGACGCAAGAGATGTGATATGTAATGGTATTTAAGGTGTAATGAATTCAGAACTAATTGAGCATGAAAACTGCGGACAACGCAATGGCGCTTAGGCACAAGTGGGCGTCCTTCCCTTGAGTGGAGGACTGAGACCCACTCAATCCAACTGAACCAAACCGTTCCAGTCCACATAGTAGTAATCCGTGATGTCTCCTACGCGAACCTAGAGAGCGAGAGTCTGGAGAGCCCTTCTTAGAAAGGAATGAAGTCTCATCCTCGACATGCATCTGCAGAGTTCGTCTGGACGAACGAATGAATGGACGGACACACAGAGGGACTGCTTGTAAAATTGCGTATGAGAAGCAATCATACGTTGCGCTATCGGATGGTGTCATCAAGCGCTACCTACTTTACCACCGGTTCTTCGGGACGACGGCTGCTTGTCACTCTTCCGTCCAGCCGAATGAGAAACCCAATGGTGGCCATGTTGATGAGCACTGAATGCAAATAAAGTCATTAGAAAAAAGAAAAAAAAATGGAAAAAACCTTTTGGTCAGCTCGGATGACTGAATGAATAAATGAATGAATGAAACACATGCGGAATAAAAATCTCCACTCTCTGCAAAGAGAAGTTTCTAAGTGAGTTCCACGCTCGTTCGCTCGGTCGGATTAACGCCCAGCAATTAAAAACCTACTTCTAGAACCCGGCTACACTCGGAATCACTCCTTCCTATTGTCTTCTCTTCTCTTCTCTTCTCTTCTCTTCTCTTCTGCTCTATTTCTCGATCTCTCTATGTAGGCCTCGTTGTCCGGAAAGCGCCAGCCAGACTCTGGCGTCAAGACAAGACAGCAGCTTTGCTCTGTACACATTTGGTGAAGCAGTGCTGAATGGGTTGCAACTTCGTTCGAGTGATCACAGTTCAATGATGACGACAATGATATACGTATGTACAAAAAGCTCAAACATCGAGTGAGATGAGTCAAAGCTGAACTGAAGTTCAGTTCAGTTCAGTTCAGTTCAGGGCGATGGAAATCTCAGTGCCTTTTGACCTTGCCGGAGATGCGCAGGACGGCGTAGAAGAGGAGGCGGTAGAGGAGGCCGAAGCAAACGGTGAGGCCCAAGCACTCCCACTTGCTCAGACCGCCGACGCTCTGGCTCCGGAGAACGGCCGATCCGTGCACCATGCACGTCGAGGCGTTCAGGTCGCTGTACACCGTGCCCCGCAGCAGAGTCCTCATCTGCGCCAGCACGTAGCTCGAGATGGCCTCCGATCCCGCGAACGGGGTGCCGTAGAAGATCTGGTCCGCCGTCTCGTAGCATTCGCTGCTGCTGCGATCGAATTCATTCAGCAGCACGGCCTCGTAAGGGTACTTGATCAGCGACAGATAGTGAAACCAGAGCCAGTAGGTGGGGATCCGGCTTCTGCTGATGAAGAATCCGCTCAGCAGCAGGAAGTAGGCCAGCACCGCCACCACTATCGTATACCCCATGATCACATTGGAAATGACGGCCGAGAGGAAGGTTGCGAACGAGTTGCCGGCCCAGAAGGACGCCCACACCACCACCAGGAAGAACAGGAACCCGTCGAGCCCTCCTGTCAGCCCCACCGACCAGAAGGTGGCGATCGAGAAGGTGAACGACAGCAGTAGCAGGAAGGGAATGTTGATCAGGCCGATGGCGAACACGTACGACGAAATTCGGTACGAATCGTGCGCTGTCTCTCGCATGAAAATGTACCTCTCCTGCAGGCGACAGGGAAATAGCTCATTAAGCTCCATCAACCCCATGAATCAGACAGAGAGCACCGGAGGCATATCGATCGATTGCCTTACCTGGAGGAAAATGGGAAGAGTGTCGACACAAGTGTAGTAAGTGGTGGAAATGGCGAAGGCGAAGAAGCCGAGGCGTTCTTTGAGACCCTGAGGGGAATGGTCGAGTCTCCAGAATATAGTGGCCAGGAACACGCCGGAGACGGTGACGGTGACGAGTCTCATGAGGAAGAGATCGGGAGTGCGCTTCAGATTGAGAGCTCCTCTCCAGGCCAGCACGTAAACCTCTCGCGCCCACGAGTTGGCAAACTTGTGGACCAGCGTGTCCATGTCGTCGTACTGCTTGCGGTAGGCGTGGGATCCCACCAGCTTGCCTCGGGCAATGCTCGCAGCCAGAGCCCCTCTCACTCCCGTGGGCAGCAAGGACTCGGGATCGGGCTCCGATGACGAAGAGGCATCGCAGCCGATGACGGATTCTATGTTGTTGTCGATGGCTGCTGCCTCGTTCTCCAACTTGGCAGCGTAGTTCTGGAACTCTTCCACGAGGCCCGTGACGGGGACTTGGGCTTTGTGAAACTCCTGCATCAGATCCAGCACCGACTCCGTCACGTCTCCCTCGTTGAACTCGTACCCGATCGTGCCGAAGAAGTCCTTCATGCCTCGAGGCGGCCCGCAGTAAATGGTTCTGCCATCCGCGATGAGCAGCAGCGTCGTCACCAGCTTCAAAATGCGCATGCTCGGCTGGTGCACCGACAGCATCACGATGCTCCCGGTTTGAGCTATTTCCTGCACCATGCAAACCAGCAGATGAAATTGTGCTGCATCGACCATACTCTGACTCTCGATCGACGGGCATTTCTTCTGTACTTCAGGCCTGATCGAGTTAATTGGACAAGCAAGACGCAGAAGAATGCAGAGGGCTGATGCACCAGAATTGGACGGTGCTTCGGCAACTGATGAACATCCAAGCGTCTGACTTCTCTAAACCACTGCTCTCTCTGTTACTGCAAGCCCAGAACTAAAATTGGTGGGAGCAGAATCATTGCTTCGAAGCGTTTTGAGGTAGAGAAGTTGAAATTCAGATGGAAAGCGCCCGAGTGAGGAATCGTACCAGCAGAGTTTCTACGACGGTGTAGGCATTGGCGGAGTCCAAGCCCGACGTCGGCTCGTCGAGGAAGAGGAGCAGGGGATCGTGCACAATCTCTTTGCCGATCGAGACTCGTCGTCTCTCTCCTCCCGACACACCGCGGTGTCCTTCATCGCCGATGATCGTGTCTTCCACTTTCGACAGATTCAGCTGCTTGATCACTTCCCTGACCCTAGAGCTCTTCTCGGCAGAGCTACTGGGCAGACGCAGCTCGGCAGCGAATCGCAGAGTCTCCTTCACTGTCAAAACGCAAACAATTCCACGGTCAAGACAAACGCCGACCAATATTTCCACTCAACTCCAGCCTTCAAACTCTATCCCGCTTCCAAAATTAATTATCAGCACATCTCTTGAAAGAGATCAATTGTCCTTCCTTCCATCGAAAGGCATGAAAACTAGGCTCCGGCGTTGAGATGCAAGTCAAACATTAGTTGAATACTCTGCTTTTCATACACCGTTCTGCATTGCGCTGGACCATGCGTAAAAGCAGAGTAAAGTCTCATAACACCAGAATTGGCACTGATCAAAGCCTGACTCTCCGTTCATGATGGACAACAGAGTGAGAACTCCGACCTCGATCTTGTATGTGAGGGATGTGTGTCAAAGGTGAGAGCAGAGCGTAAGTGGCAGATCTGTGTCATGAACTTCAACTGGAGCTTGAGCTTCAGGTGGAGAAACTAAGTTTCTAGATTGGGGACGAGGAAGAGCTAAATTATGGAGCTTACCAGTGAGCATGGGAAACAAGAGATCGTCCTGCATGACGTAGGCCGAGATGCTGCGCATCAATCCGATGTTGTGTTTGACTTCCTCCCCGTTCAAAGTGATGCTTCCCTGTAAGCTGTGATTGGCAATTCTCTGAGCAAGCGCATCGATCAGAGTGGACTTGCCAGACCCACTGGATCCCATCACGGCCAGGATCTCTCCCCCTCTCACCACTCCGGAAATGTTGTGCAGCAGAACGTTCTTCTGATTCCCGATCTCCGACCGAATTCTATCCTTGTTGGTACTCCAGCACTCGCACCGCTCCTTGACGGACTTGCGCATGATGTACGTCAAATTCTTGAACTCCAACTTCAAGTCCAGGCGTTTGGGAATCATCCTTCGCCTCCTCGACTTCTTCCCCCTGACTTCCATTATCGTCCTCGCTGCTTCATCTGGCGTCGTTCCCGAGTTCGGGATCGCCGTCTTCTGTATTTCACTGTCATCCGGACGACAAATTTCTGCATACATCAAGTCCCCCACAGCAGGAGTGGCTGCAGCTTCGACGATGTCGATGAGAGCGGCCGTGAGGAAAACCATAAAAGTGATCAACTTTGAAAGCAGTAGCAGTCACGTCCAGCTGCTCGGCATAACAGCTACCACAATGACAGAAATGCAAACACTAATTTCTATTTTCTACTTCTTTCCAGCAGTGGAGGAAACCTCGTCCGATCTTCAGTAGTTGAGGATCTCGACAGACATTTGGCTCTTCTGGGACGACTTATGGTTGAATTCTGGCTGAAGAGCATGCAAGTAAAAGCTTCAAACCTCAGAAGAACTCTTCGAAACAGAGAAGGCAGGACAGAATTGTATGCTTGTCTGTGGAGCTACATCTATAGATGTCACGAGCAAGTGAGGAGACTGAGCCAAAAACCTTCGAGTGTTTCAGCGTCGCATGCTTTCAGAAAGTCCGAATCATTGTCCAGATTCGCTTTCGAGTTCGAATTGAGCTGACTGACGGCGAGTGAGGATGAGGTGATCCCACACACGTTCGAAGGCCGATTCCGTGTCAACGTTTTGCCGATTTCGAACCGAGGATGAGCAGCTAGGCCGAGGAGGTACCTCGTGCTGCTTGAGCTGCTAGATTCAAATTCGAACCCGAGCTCGAGGACTTGGGAGTTTCAAAACTTATAATCGTTCGCGTGCTGACTATAAAAGTTCGTTGGGCATGGCAGAAAAACGTCAGAATTCTGCACTTCGTTCTACTTCTGTGAGCAGTGCCCGATGTGGACACCTCTGTACGATCATAGTACCAGTTATGCTCAGGTCACTGCAGGCATTAGAGAGCCTGTAAGGTATAAAGGTATGCTCCACACGAGCCTCGGGCCTGCCTCTCACCGAAGAAGAAGTACTCCGCTTCCGCACAGTGGTGACGGCTTGCTTCTGAAATTTTTTTCCATACTTATGGAATCTGATCTGCAAGAACGTTTAATCGAAGTACGATGAAAGGCTCGAAATTACTGTTGTTGAGAGATATGAATTGAGACTGTTGTGCATGAGGAGAACTTCCAATTCTGCCGCTAGTTCATAACGAATACCGAAATGGATAGACTGTCACTGCTTATAAATGTGTTGCTTTGCTTGCACTGTTGCCATGGTACCAGAAAATGTGTTCTATGTTTTCCATCTCGATTCACAATATATCCGAGTGCCAGATTTGCTGAAGGTCGCTGTATGACTACGACTACAAGAACGTTTCCATTTAAGTGGGACTTCTTCTCTGTCATGGTGTTCGACGTTAGATCTGGAAATTATATTTCTATATTTCAGCTGGAAATGTAGAGATCGACCCAACGGGTGTTTGTTGTTGTTTTTTTACGGTTTGTTGCTTATTTACCGTCGCCGTTTATATAGAGTTCAAGCTTTGCTCGAATATGAATCAAGATCCTCGTGCATTGTTCAATACCAAAACCTCGGTGTTCATAATTGCGGTATAAGCTGCGAGTGTGTTTTCTTGTGTTTGACAGATCCAGTTTGTGGAGTGTTACGGTCACTCCGAGCACTTGATCGTTGTCACAATCAAGAAAGGCAGGTCTAAAACTAAGCACACGGCGTGTCGATGAATGGGAGAGTGTAACAATGTCAAATATCTGTCACCTTCATTTGGATAGTATGAAAGGGTTTAGGCAAAGGGTCAAAAGGCTAAAAAATACAATACAAACAACCAAACTACAAACCAAGAGAAAACCAAAAGAAACTCCTAGCTAGTGCCCAAAGCATTAAAACTAATAACATTCTCATAAAACAACCTCAATCATAAGGCTCAAGTTGCAATGAAAAATGAAAATTCTCAACGACAATTTTATGCGACACTCTAATCCCTGTATATCTAGTACAAGTGACAAACACATGCTCTTCATATTCAACTTTTCTCCTATCACATAGCCTACAAATAAGTTCATTCCTATCTATGTTCAACCAATGATCTTACTCAAACCCAAGACTATGAGATCCTATTCTATGTTGAACAATAATATAACCTAAAGATGTAGAGATCTCAGCAAGTTGGTATCATTGCTCACAATAAACAAGCATAGGATTCAGATTAAACAAATAATATTTCCATTTTAATGACTTGCTTGCTCCAAATAATGCTGAGAAATTCCTCATTAATACGCTCGCGAAGGTCCATAGGTTGCAAATTCCAATCAAGTTCCATCACATTCTATCTCAAAGATCAAGTCATCACATCTACAGACCATCCCTTGAGACGTGTGGCAAGCAAAGCTTCAAGAGGAAGTCGAGAAGCATCTAGAGATCTTACTCTTCTATCGTAAGTGATAGTCAAGAAGAGAGCTTCCCTCTCAAGAGGTAGACAATTTATTTTCGCAAGAAGAATAGCATATGAAGTTTGGGTTCTCACACTCAATTCTTCTTGTAAGAATATCTTTTGCATCATTTTTAAGCGTTGTCAACCTGTCTTCTTACAACCAAAACCCCACACATGTGTTCCATATAAGATAATCAAAAACACTAAGCTATTAAATAAAAATCTCCTAAAACTCCAAGACACTAAATGAGCTACTCTACATCTATTTAGCAATGAATATAGAGCTTTGAAACCAGCTTCTATACTCTTTTGCAAACAAAATGCCCAACTATAGTCGTGGAAGAAATCAATGACTAAATATTTGTAACTACTCACTTGTTCCAACTCTAATACTTTGTGAAACAAATAAAGTTTGGATCTAGTGCCCACAAAAATGACTTTTGACTTCTCCAAATTGACCTCCATCTGATTTTGAGTACAAAAGCTAGCCAAAGTGTTAAGTGGTAGTAATATGACATCATCTATATATAAAAGAGTTTTGATGACAAAGATTCCAAGTTTGGCACCTTCACTTTCACAATCTTCTAACCATCTTTCTATATCATCTATGAAAACTCCAAATAGAGTATGAGAGAGAGTACAACTCAGAATGACGCCAATGGTAATCAAAATCTTTTCAATTTGAGAAGTGTTGATCTTGACCCGAACGGAGTGGTATAATGTGATCACAACTGCTAAGAGATATGATGGTACTCCAATGGTTTGCAATCTTCACCAAAAAAAATCACGATTTTCTATGTCAAAAGCTTTAAAATGGATGAAGGCACAAAAGAAAACTTTCCATTGCACTTGTACTTCTTCTATAAAACTAACGGTCACTTGACTTGCAGTACTACTTCACGAGCTCGACCGAATTCCGCACTGAGTTTGGACGTCAAGGCCCACTCTATATTCTAGTCAAATTTCGTGAGTAGAACTTCCATACAATTGTGTGATTTTCACTTCTCTATGTAACCTACAAATGACATGAATGTAATTTCTACAGAATCATAACAGTATATGACATAATGGAATTGGCTCTAAATGCTTCTAGAAGTATAGAAGCAATTGGGCAGAAAGAATCATTTCTAGATTGTACATTGATTTGAGAAACTATATAGCTAGCTGCCTCACTCCCATACATTCAATATCTTAACCTCAAATTTTAAATTCTAAATTGTAGTTTTCAGCTTATGCTTTTGAATTGATTAATAAATACGGATAACTATTGGTATACAGTGTAGAAGAAGAATGTAAGAAATCTTAACTATTGTAGTTATTCGCTAATACTAATATGATGGATGTTTGTTCAGAGTATATAGTACAAAATTTATATCAAAGCAAGAGATGTTTCATAGTCTACATGTAACATGATGGGTTGTTCATTCTAAATATCACTACTGTTAAGGAGTATTTAACCATTGAGCTAAATTATATTTTTGTATTATTCAAAGCCACTAATTTATTTTTTCAACAATTTTGATCCCAAATTGAGACACTATTGCACTTTTTTGAATTTTGCAATTAAAAAAATTTGATGTTGTTAAAAAAATATTTTACATCTCATAATCAACAACTTATGAACATAATTATAATAAGATCTCATTAATATACAGGATACTGTAGATATTCTATTGAAAATAGCTCCTAGACAAATGTATATACTTAGTCATCTTTCAGAACTTTGTTGAGGTACTTAGCCATCATGTCAAAGTTTTCAGTTTGTAATTCATTCAATTGCAAATATCCAGATACTCATGATAATTGAAAGCTTCACTATCAATAAAATGTTATCATCAGAAATGATTAAATTTTACAAATAATAATTTTCGCTCAAAACTCATGATGTGATTGATTTAAGAATCTAGCTCGTATCTGATAGATTTGTCCAATAAAACTGTAGATTTCCAAAAGTTCATTATGATTCATTGTAATATTTAAAATCAATCAACAAAAAATTATTTGTGATTGAATATTATTTTTGTTTTATTAATTGATTAAGAAATGCTAATTCATGGTGTGTTATAAGTATATGAACAAACGAGATATATAATTTCTGACAAGTATTACGACACATCCTTGTCACATCAAACATCAAGATATTTATCATATATCAAAGTAATTGTAAAAAAATTTGTTAATAGCCATAGCATCATGATAAATTCAAACATATTTTTTCATTCAAACATAGTTATATATTTGCACTAATTAAAAATTTCTGTGTTTAATTTAAAAAATTCCACATAAAAATAGTGATAGAAACTAAATAACTTAGCTATCATGACTTTTATACCTATGTTGATAGTAATATGAGCTTAGGTGAAAATCATCATCATTACACTTTTTTTTGAATTTGATGAATCTTCTTTGTTTGCTGAAATCAAAGATTTAAATGATGTTATACAACTTTGATATTCTTAATACACATCACAATATCTATTGTTATGAGAACAAAAATAACTATACTTGGATCATCGTATACACTATGACATATATTGGTATTCCATATTATATCTGACTTAAGCATTATGTATGAATTGTTAATAGTATTTGTACAAACTTCTTGTAGTATATAATATAATGAGACGTTATTTTCGTAACAATATCAATGTTAATTTTTCAAATAGATGTAAAATAAGGAAAAATATGAATTGTAATTGTAGTCTAAAAAAAAAAATCAACATGCATTTGCTCGTAAAATATCTCGGATAACATTAGTTTTATGTGCATTCTTGATTTCAAAGTATTGATTGATTACAATTATATCTAGCAAGAGCATCAAGAAGGATGGGACGCAAACTTGAGGATTAAAGCTTTAGGAAAATCTACAAAGAATGTATAAAAGAAGTATTTGTAGTTCCATACCATCTCTTACTTTGACGAAGCAAAATGGCTAAATTGAAGAAAAGATGCGTTGATCAGAAAGTTTAAGCACACCTTAAATCAATTATCCTTGCCATAACGCAGTTATCATATCAATCTACATCAAGTGTAGATTGTAGACAAATTTGTGAGACAAATTCACATTAATTTGAGCGCGATATTGAGAAAGAATGTACAAGCATTGGTCACGAGAAAGACGATAAGAAGAGTGTCCTGTATTACTTCCTTCTTGGTGTTTGTATCCAGAGCAGCGTCGTTTATATCTATTACAGATGGAATTGTCAATATCTGCATCAAGATTATCATCAAGAATCCCATCTCTAGTAGATTAAGTTAGACTATTAACGTGTTCTTTTCAAGCGTAAGAACAGTGATAACCTTGCACAAGAAAGATGAAGAAGGAGCCAACAGGTTTGGAGTTGCATACGTTCATAGTGGGAATTTCCCATCAGAGTAAGATCTCAGGGCATGTGCGTAGTTGGGCAAAGATTAAGATGTATACTAGAAAGAAGATAGAAGCAGTAGTTCTAGCAAAGTCTTGTCATATCTTTCATCATTATAATACCCGGGACTGGCTCATGTTCTCACCTGAATTTTGTTCCTTGTTAGAATTGATGGTGTGTCCATCGTTTTACACGGTGATTCATGTTCTATATGTTCGAATGAAATCCTCAAACTGACAGGCTATGTGAACTTGATCTAGATGATTTATTGATTGGCTCCAAACAAACAGATTCTGTTATATACTAATTCGGAAACTGACGAAGAATGTGGATAAATTTTTCAAGCATAATATCAAATTCGAGGAGGAGATGCATGAGTCGAAGCAGTCTTACGTGGAAATTTCTCAATTTCAGTAACACTGGTGAAATTCGCGGATAAGGAAAACTTGAGGTTGCAAGATATGAAAAAAAACTATGACTAGTTCATGTGGAGTCATCTACTACCCTGGATGCCTTGACCAACAAATGCGTCCAAACTCGGTGTGACGAGGAGTATTTGTAGTGGTCAATAACAAGGAAAAGCGCAAGAAATACAAGGCACTTCAATGGGATTTTAGGAGGCGGTGAATCCAAAACAACATGATATTGTTGCATACATAGTGGAGATGCAGTTGGGAATGAACTCATACATCTAGGAGATGAAGTGCAATTGAGTGGCGTAATCAAGCGAACATGAATGGGAGTAGACACAGATTGTTGTATAAAAAAATAAAAAGGTTGTAGTAGTTATATCTTCTTTCTTGCAAGCATCCAACTTCTTTCTTCATCCATGAGCCGGATTTCAAGCACGCGTCAGGAGTGATTACGTGAGGTACTCGCTTTGACCGAAGCTTCTAAACAAAAAGATGATATTTTTTAGGAAAGAGATTGATCAATTCATACTGATTTAATCTGAATTACTCGTGTGATGGGATTGGGAAAGGGGAAAAAATAGCAAACTGTGCAGAGAAAATTAAGAAGACTAACTGCACCTTTTCTCTTCCTATTGATGGATTGTGCTCCTTGTTCCTTACGGGCATTCGCCTTGATAATGCATGATTGTGAGATTATAAACATCAAATAGTCATCTTCGGTACAACATGATATGATGTGATCTCCTTTGTGGAGCTAAGATTATCAACGCATGCGATACTATGCTTCACCTTTGCATGTTTGCAGTTTATGAGAGTTAGATCGTTGAGGGAAGTGGATCATCGACACAAATGCATTCTTTGATTGCTAATGGATGCCATTTTATATTTTACATTTTTTTAAAATTTTTATTTGCAGTTTACGAAGAGGTTGTTTGTGAACTCAAGGCTTGCAACAATCAATCTTCGCGTTCGTATTATGTAGCACACTCATCTGTTGCTATTCTAATAGTTATCATGAGCTCAAACATTTTAGTAGCATAATTAAAAAAATCGAGACAGTTGTTGATAGTTAAAGAATTTAGCCATACACGCAATGTAAATTCACGGATCTCGCGTGTTGTACACACTATCCTCACCCAGGGAGTTCTTTCGCAACATCCCATGGCTTTCACCCATCAGAGTTGAAAGCCAAGGGTTCAGAGAGGATGCGACTGGGGCACCTCACCTTCGCTGCATACTTTTGACAAACTATTGATTCACTATAAAAATGAAACAGCGAATCCGAACTACTGATTTTCACACAGAAGCTGAAACATGCTTTTGATATTTAGCATGACATAATATGCTAATTATGGACCAAATCTTATTATCACTATCGTCTAAACAGATAAGGTCACTAACTTGTACCGAGTCACGTACTCTGCTCCCGACACGGATTGTATACAACGAGCCGGAATAATACTTGCGAAACAGCTGAAATCCAAGGGCAGGGGACTACTTTACTTTCTAGCAAGAGAAGTAACGTCGTAGTCTTCTGCCCGTGTTCTTCTATCATCCAGATTCGAGAGCTCCTTTCTAACAAGTCTGTATATTAAACAAAGAAGACGCAAGAACCGAGTAGATGATCCGAAACTATGGAGGCAATTCACTTGAAGTCTGCAAAGGCTTTTGTTAACTGATGATATTAAATCCCTTGTAACATTTGTACAGTTGACCTTCACACTCCGTTCCATCGCCCTTTTGTAGTATACGAGGTACACAGAGCCCTTGAACATCTGTCAGTGCTGCACGTAGGACCAGAAATATTTCAAGTCCTTCTCATATATGTGGGCACTCAAGAGCAGCTAATAGATCAGGTATATTTCATAACATGAATCCACCGGACCAAATTCTCCTCTCAACTAAGACAATAAACCCCAACAAAGTCCATGTCATCAGGAGTCAAAGAGTTGCCAGCACTCATCTCGCTCCGTGTTGTTTTGCCTCACTAGCAACACTTGGGAGATATGAAGTGCTTTCACCAATAATGTACAAGCATTTGAACGCAATGCACTCCCGTGAGCAGCACATTTCCTCCTCCCGCAAAGGATATGGTGAGAAGAGTGGGATCGTTAAGAGATCACGGCTAACACTTCTGCCTGAAAAATATTCTATCCACTACGTGCACTGGAAGAGCATATGCGGGGTCGATACTTTTGATTCCCGGGTATTCCAACAATGATAATCCTGCAAAACATGTTTTCAACATGTCAAAATTTAACCACGGACAACGAGATGGAAGGTAACTCTTCTTGGGGACTTTGAAAAGTCGGATGGAAGACGAAGCTAGTTCTTTGACAAAAGACGTAAAACCTAGCGACCAGCTCCATTGTAGGTACAAAATGGAACTACGTAGATGCATCGACATTATTTGGAAATAGAAAAGCAAACAAAGCTGATGTGCGGACGGTTTTAATGTAAAATCTTCAATTATTAAGTTCCAAGTATAAGCAAACAAAACTGCTTCTGCCAAGGACAAGAACAAGCGCATCAAAATGTACTGAACTCTCGGAACTAAGCTCTGACGCAATCCCATTTCAAGACAAGACACCAATCCTGGTGAAAGCACAGAAGTCATGAGAATGACACTTACCAGCTACACCAAAGAAAGTATGGAAAACGTCCACAGCGTCATCGGGCGCATCTGAAATGCCACCTCTATCTTGATCCTACAAAGTCCAATGTCCATATCCATGTTCAGCAACAATTACATGCCCTACTCGCAAAAAGATCATATGACTAAGCTAATGACTTCAACCAATTCGACAAAAGTGGGAACTCCTAATTGAATTCACAGCTTTCTGCATTTCACGTCAATGTCTTCACTTCTTAGATCTGGACCTTTACCTGGCAATTGAGAATGAAATCTTTTAACTTTTCCTTGTTAATCCAATGGGCTCTGTCAAGAATGACGAGGCTCGATAGTACCCACCATGAATAACATACCTGTAAAACAATAAGAAGGCATATTATACATTCCCTGAATAAACAGATCTTATGAGTGATAAAGTAAGTGCACACACGGTGTGATTCTAATTCACACTGATTCCTACTATGCGATAAAGTATTCCCTATTACCCAGTTTTGATCTTCGTACGACGGGCAGTTCAACTCAGGTGGAAACTAAACAACCTTAAACAACATTGTCATATATTGATGAATGATCAACTCCTGCATATCTATTATGTAAGGATGTGGAATTTCATCAGAAATTTAAAGTTACGGTCTGCCTCGGCGTAATGATCCCTCAAACTCACAACAAATTTATTATTAAGCCCAGGTTTACAAAACTTACATCAGGTAGCTTCTCAGGCCGCCCGTTCAATCCACCGGCCTTTACTTGGCGCTCGCACAACCACCAGCCTAGGAGGTCCTTATCAACATGATGAAGTGCTCCCATTATAGCAAGAGCAGCAACACAGCAGAAAACTGGTCCAAAAAATTAATATTCTGAGGTTAGATTACACAACAACATCGAAGCATATTATACAAATTCCAACATGCAAAACCTATTGCTTAAGGTTAGACAGATCCCAACATCAACGTACATGATAAAATTTCCCAGCAAACATAACCCCCATGCATGCCGGCTTTATGAAATATTACACATCCAAGTCAAAGAGTAGAATCCGAAAAATCGAACAGCGGCTACTCATGACCCTATTAACATTGATTGGCGCACGGCTCTCACTAACATCCATCTTAACTTAAATTGCAAAATTTGATAAGTGCCTGTTGGCTATGACAAGGGTAAAATGCCACGAATTATGAAACAAATCAAGGTAAAACGAAAGGAGATGTCAGCCCATATGTCAAGAGGAATCACTAGCAATGGCACAGTGCCTTTACTTAAACAAGGTGAGGCACACTCATAGAAAAGGTAACGACCAGCAACTAATCTTCATCCTGTGCTTTCCAAAGAAGAACACCCAATCGGAATCCTAGATCTTTCGCTTGGCGAGTTTGCTAACAGATAATAAAATGGGAACATACACTCGTAGGAATAATAAATGGCAATCAGATTAGCTGAGTATAACACGTTGGAAGCACACATACTTTGTCCAGCATGAGACTCCCCACCGGGCGTGCATCCGAATCCACCGTCAAAATTCCTACAGCGAACTAGAAAATCGGTTGCTTTTTGGACATTTATAGTGTGCATCCGTTTCAAGATGCTGAGGCAGTTGACAGCAGCATAGGTGAACCTACATCAACAATACTGGCTGTTAAAAAACAAATATAGCTGCTTTTCTTCCAAAGTTGTGGAAGCACATACATCTCCTCGATAATTCTCGCTCGAATCATTTATGTATTACAGGAGAGTACTTTCTTTTAACAAATGTAGAACACTGAGGACAAGATACTATCAACCACGTACAAGTCTAAGCAAAGATCTCTAATGAGTATAAGAATGAAAGGGAAAAGTGAGCACCTGAGTCTAGGGCATACCGGGTGTCAATCTCTCCCCACTCGTCTCCTGCAAATGACCCGTCGTCTTTCTGCAGACCAGAGATATCTTGTCCCAAGGTAGTCAAAGAACATCGATTAATACTCTTCGAGTGTCAAATGCATTTTCGTTAGCTCCAGAGGTTTCCTAAACACAACTGCCTGCTAGAGGATCTTCACGACCTCAGAAATTCATGGATGACACGAGAAGACAGAGGACAAAGTGTCCAGCGACTTGAATTCAGATGACTCGGTTGTTGAGGATACAGTTGGCGATCTTGTCAGCGTCGGCGACATCTAATTTATCAAAGAGAGCTAAAATCTGCACGGCGTTGAGGGTATACAGAATGTGAGGATCATGACCGAGGTTTCCGCCAAAGCCCCCTGCAAAAATCCAACACCTAGACTCCTCAGGGGCACTCTGACTGTTACCAACTTCAATCTCATTTCGATCATCGACCGTAAAAGATGAATCAATAATTTCAATCGAGTCATTCGGTAAGAAAACCAGAGTTCAGTCTTAGAAGGAAGGAAACGAACCACAATCATGCTGACACTTCAAGATCCACGCGGCAATCTCATCGCCATCCATGTCATCCAGACTGTGCATCATATCCATGGCTGTGAGGCCCCAGTACGCTCCACTCATTCGAAGGTGCTCCATCACAACCGAATCGAAGTCCGCCTTCTGCTAAACGGATGATTTCGCAGTGAGCAAACGCTCATTTTCCATAACCTTCCGCTAAATAGCACACTTGCAGATCTCTCAAGCCCTCAAACACTCAAAATTTCACACGAGCAAGGAGCCGATATCCTCCCAAACATACAAGATTATTCCGTGAACTGAAATCCCATCCGAGCGCGAATAACAGCAATTGGTCGAGCTTACCTTGTCCAGAGATTTGATATAATCCACATGCTTTTCCAGCTGAAACGTAGTCATCTTCTCGACGGACATTCTATCGTCCCAGTCACACTCTGATCGATTAACTCCACTGCTCTGTTTCGCTAGTGATTCCAGAGACGAGAGTGAGCATCGAAAAAGAAAGCTGATCGCTTGACCAAAAGATTGTGAGCCTGCGACGCAATTGCAGTCGCGGCGGCTGCACTGCGCGAGTCACGCAGTTTCTACCCCGTCGTGCGCTCTACAGCGCCGTTTGACATTTATTTTATTTACTGGAACGAGTGATTGATCATTTCATCGCCTAAATTTTTCCTTCAGTAGGAAGAATGAAGGCGATGAAATGAAATTCAATAAGAGACATTCTTCCTTCCTCGGAGTTTACATTGTGCGCACAGAGAAAACATATTTTGCACATGTTAATCTGTTTCCAAAGTTCTCATGAATGACTGAGTTTTCTCATATTATTTTGCGTATAATGTTCATGTGGGTTTCTCTTTACGTGTATAATGTGAATTGGTGTTCATGTTTCAAGTAATATTCATTTATGTGGTGTGTAATATACTTTACTATTTCTAGTAAATGGATTAGTTCATAGCTTATCAATCTAGTTCATCCTTGTGTGACTTTATAGTTTATCTTTTTTTTTCTTTTCATTTTAAACACTTCCTCATTATTGTAAAAAAATTGCTTCTAAACAAGTCCATAAACTCCATTTTTAAATTACAACAAGACTAACTAAGACAAGTATCCTAATGACAATGATAAGATGATACACATATATCAATTCATGAAGTTTTCATGATAAAAAAAATTGAATTCTTCATTTGCAAAATTTTGATTAGTTCTACAATTGTGCACACATAGTAGGACTAAAATACACTAGTTAGAGATTACAACTAATAAACATTTCAATTGAAATAAATTTGATTATGATAGCTCTTTCAAGCGTTGATTTTCTACTAATGGTTTTTTAAAGTCATATGGAATTACAATGAATGCATAATTATTAACAATAACGAAACTCAATCTACATGCAGTAAGTTGTAATGCTTCATGAGTTCAATTAATCAATAAGTGTTCAAAGTAATTCAACTGATTCCTTAACTAAACAATATTAAGTCTTTAAAATTAATGTAATGTGATCTTCTAAACATAAACATATTTGTTAGTATTGCTTGTAATGAACAATCACAATCTCACATATAGGACTAACACAACATAAATATGTCAAAAAAACAGAATATTAAGTTATAAGTTTGCTTCAAGAAAATAATATTGCAACATACTAGCAATACTTTTTTTTATTTAATTTGAAATTCCTTGAAAACAAACATGGTATGCATCAATCAAAGTAATATTATAACAAATCAACTATTTTAGTTTCAATATAACATTATAATTTGCAACATTTGTCATTATTAAAGCAAAATAATTTAATTTTGAAGTATATTTGAAAGCAATTGTGACATTCAATAAAATAAATCAAAAAAGCTGATGTGAAATTTTCATAACATAGATCAAAATGAAATTTCAGAGATAAAAATAATAAAATTTCATTCATTGATATGATTTTTGCAACTTAATTTCATGATAATTCAATAGTTTCTATCAATACTTCAAATGAAAACTTTTAAATATAAATTATTCTTGTCACATAGAGTCAATTTATACAAAAAATAACTTTATAATGATGTGCACATTGCATTTTAAAAAAGCATATTTTTCTATTATATAAAAATATTATTTCAACAAAATATATTAAAATTAAATTTATATCAAAAATTTTAACATGTGCAATAATTAATATTTTAATGTTATTATTTATAAAATTATTTAAACAGATGAAATATTCTTATTGAGGATATAAAAATATCAAATAATGATTATAAAAATAATTGACATTAATATTTATGGTTGATTGTATTATCTTTCTTCCATAACTTCAAGTCATTTTCACTCTTATTCAAACTTTCAAACTAATTCCAATTTTGGTTCATTTTATATGATTATAGATCAAAGAGTAGCTCATTCTAAGTTGGAACACAATTGTGAAAATGAAAAATTTTCAGAATGGTTCTACTCCCCTTATATAGATAATACCAACAAATACAAAGAGATAATATCTCACATTCACAATCCATTATATTCTTAGTAAGAATAACACTAACAAACACAAAGATAGATGACTTCTCGTTCTCAACTAACACATTAACTAACAAATTCAATTTGTAACAAGCACAAAGATTGCTCACGTGTTGCTTTCAACATACACACTTACTTTTTATCTACCAAGTACATAGATTACTAACATGGCAACTATGAATAGTGCATTATAAAGTAACTATAAAATCACTTTGAGTAACTTTTACTTTTATCTCTAACTAACTAATGATAGTAACATTATCTCATAGTTTATCTTAATCTTAGAAGGTTGAGGTTTGACCTACGTGCCAATGTTTCAATTGTTTCTCACACAATCTCTTCATTAAACACAAACTTTCATTCTCATTCAAAAATTAACTCTTTCTTAATGAAATAAGTTTAAATATTCAAACTCTAACTTTATGATTATAATAATTTAGATTCATCATGATAAATCCGGATACTCGTTATGTTACATCTTGCCTTAAATCAAATGATGAGTAAATCCAAGTACATTAAGCCTAAGTATCATTTTATCAAATATGCAATTTTTGATAAGAAGTTCAAGCTAGTTAATGATAACAAATTTGCAGTTGATGCATTGAACAAATTTATTTTTTTGGAAAATTTTACAATACATATAATTATGTTGGAGGTTTTGCATAAAGAACATAGTAATAGTTACTAGCAATTTGTTAACCTCAATATATATATTTATTATATCATGATTTGATCATATCTTAGTTTACGCTACCATTACTGTAAATAAGAGTTAACGTTGGTTTTTTTTTCTAAAATTTTCAATAAAATATTATTTAGGCTATCAAATTAATACTTTCAAGTACATAAATTAAGAATTAGATTGTTATGAGTTCATTTCGATATTTTGAAAAATCATATAAGTTTAATATGAGTTTAAATAGCTCACAAGATCTCTTTTTGATCCAACTTGGAATTTATCCAATAAAAATCTTATATTTTTTACAATGGCAAACTTTGTATTTCATTATTGGCATGTTGGCATTTGTGTTTTTATTTTGGACTTCTTTTTGTGATTTTCTGTAACATAATTTCCTAAATCATGAAAAAAAATTTAATATATTTAATTCAATCACCAAAAACTATTTTCGCTTCATCAATCTATTAAACTCAGAATTTTCATTTAAGAATTTATTTTTAAAAAAAAATCAAATCATTATTAGATTTAAGCTAGAAACATATAATCTACTTAAATACAATATTTTAAATTTATTTTTGAATATTGTAATTAAAAAATGAAAGGAATTAATTTTATTGTCTTAAATTTTAATTTCATTAACAAAATTAGGGTGAAATAAGTAAAGTGATGTAAAACTCAAAAGAAAATTTATAACAAAATGTAGTTAAATATGTACAACTCATAAGCATAAAAAATTTTAGCAACTTAGTCTTTTATAATATGTTTTTATTTCCCTCAAATATCAAATTATAAGAAAAATTTTTAATTATTTTGATTTAAGAATGTTGATTTTGAAATTTATCATAGTCACATTCTGATTAATTATTTAAATAAAATTGATCTTTCATAAAACTGTAATAGAATAAATTCTTAATGCTTTCTGAAAACACAAATATATTATTATCAATTTTAAATTTATTTACTTAAAAGGGGAATTACGTTTAAAAAAACTTTCTTCATGTATTTTTACAATTTTTTTCAATACGAATAAATATATTTAGATCAGAAAAATTTCAAAATATAAATCAATATATTTTGATAACTTTTCTAAGACATAAATATGACTGAATAAAACAATTTTCACTCATTTTTATAAATATTTCAAATTTCTTCAATTGCCAAGAAGTGTCCGACATTATAAATATTATAAAAAAAAAATTTTAATGATTTTTTTATTTTGGTCAAAATTGATTTTTTACTTGTTTTAACTTAAGAAGTAATTGTAACCATCTTTAGTTAGTTAGAACTAAATTAGAGGTTACTCTGAATATGGATGTAGATACTTTAGTGTGCACTAGTCATAGCTGCCACATCAGCGATCCGCGCACTTGGTAGGTACAGAGTGGATGTGTTAGTTGACAGTGCCACGTCAGCAATCCGTGTGCTTGTAGGTAATGATTGAGTGTGTTAGTTAGTGTGTTAGTTGGGTGCGCCACGTCAGCGATCCGTGTGCTTGTTAGGGTTATTCGCCACGTCATCCATCCACTATGAGTGGGATGGATGGTGGGGATTAGATCTTATCACCTTGTACTTGTTGGTGAGAGCTAAATAAAGGAGAGGAGAACCATTGTTGGGATCTCTCATCTTCAGAGTTTACGTTTCTATCTTCGAGTGAACTTCTCTCTAAACCCTAGTGTTACAATGGTATCAGAGCGACCTTGCTCTTTCCTTGAGTGTGGATTACCTCTCATGGAATAGCAAGTGAGTGATGATGGAGTGTAGTCTTGAGAGTGTATAAAGGCTGGCAGAGGTCATTCATCTGCATGTAGAGAGAGTTGGAAGGGGGAAATTGTGTTTTTGCAGATATGGACGGGATTGACAGGAATCCAGTACCGCACTGGCCAATTCCTAACCTATTCGATATTCACCTTCGTTGCATGGAGAAACATCATTTTCGGATGTACCTTGTGGCTTGTTGGGGTGCAGATTTTATGACTAGAGTGATGGAGTCAAGAGTGCCACTGATTCTTCCAATAGTTACTTATGGAGAGACTTGGGATTGTACTATATACATTATATACTGATTGTTTCATGGATTTGAATCGCGAACCACCTGTCCCGGTTCGATTCAGCACTTATGTAGAGATTAGAACAGTATATAGACAGAAGAGTATATGGAAAGATTTTCTTGTGAGGAATTATGGAGAGGAGTACTATAGAGCTGTGATAGAGTCACCTGCACCTTTTATGACTCCTTTGTTGAGAGGTCACATAGTGATTATACTCACTTTGTATTAGAGGGATTGTGAGAAAGCATGGGAACATCAATTGATATGGGTGAGGTTCTCAATGCAATCATGGCGGAGATGAAGGAGTTGAGAAAAGCAATAGTAGATGGG